GGTCTGGATCTGGGCCTGGTACCGGGCCTGGTACTAGTTCTGGTACTGGGTCTGGTATTAGTTCTGGTTCCGGGTCTGGTTCTGGGCCTGGTACTAGGTCTGGTACCGGGCCTGGATTGATGGCGACTGATGATGGAAGCGTTCAAACGTCTTTCAGCTTCTGGTGAGCAGTCAGAGCTCAGCATAGATCACAGTGTGGGTCGGATCTAAGAACGTTGATCTATGATCAAAGTTTAGTATGAAGTGAATGAAATGTTGGAGAAATGATGATGCGATCCGACTAAACATCCTTAGAGCAGTCCTGAAGGTTTCTAACCGAGTTCTGATGAAGTTCTGGTCCAGCCAAACCAGAACTTCATCAGAACTTCCTGATCCATATTTCCTCCCAGGTGGATTAACTGGTTTGTTTTTGTCGTCGTCAGATGAAGGATGGACGCCTCCTGGCTCACTCTGCTCATAATGGCTGCCGTCTTCATCGCCACCGTCCTCCTGGCCGTCGTCTGTCTGGACTGCGGCAACAAAAGTCCTGGTGAGAAGAAGCTCCTCCCACTCATGGTTAAGATGTGGTAGATAGCTCGCCCTGCGGGTTTTACTGACGGACCTTCAAACCAAACTCAGGCCCGTATCAGATGTTTGGTTTCCATGTCTGGTCTCCAGTGGAGCCGGGTCACCGGGTCACCAGGTCACCTCCAGGTCATGTTTGTTCTGCAGCCTCTGAAGCAGGCGAGTCACACTGGAGGTGACCTGGTGACATCACAGCTCCGCCTCTGGTCTCTGGTGTTTGGGGAGACGCTTCCTACGCTGCTAGAACCCACTTAGTTTTCAATTATAAAGTAATCTAATTACTTTTCTCTATAGGTAATATTGTTATTTGTAATCTAAAGCAAGTTTGACTGCAGTCAATAAGAGCTGAGCTGCAGGAGGGGACTGCGTTCAGAGAGCCAGGCCTCTGATTGGCTGAGGAGCAGGTGCTGGGAGCTGATTGGTCGAACAGGAGGATAACAGGAACTCTGATCTCCAAATATTCCTAAATTCTCCTTCCATCCCGTTTCCACCCGTCGCTCGCCGATCCGTCCCATCAGCTCATCATCAACCAGATAAACACGCGGGTCGTCCTCCATTTTACATTAAAAAAAGTGACTCCCCAAAAATAATAAGCGTACTAAACTATAATGTGTTAAAGGTTAATAATGTATTTCCTGATAAAATAAAAGCATTTAAATCCTTCCTGTTTTATCTGTTCCTGATCTGTAGGAAATGGGATGCTACGCTACTTCCAGGAGCTAACTTTATCAGCTTTGGATTTAAACAGAAATCTAGTCTTTTATAGTTTAATGTTTTCCTTTCATGTTAACATTATGCTATATAGTGCGTAATCTAAAGAAAGAAACATCTAGAGTGCAGATAAAGATGGTTTAATCA